TTGTACATCTTTTTCTGGTTCAGTTACATTAACAATAGATTTTTATGAAAAGTATTTTGCATTATCAATAATGCAATGAGAACATTTAAAAACACTTGCAAGAATACAAATTGCATGAAACTCTTTTCTTATACATTTAAACGCTACTTTTGCATTAAGTTTAGTATAAATAACTATTCACAAAAAAACAAAAAAAAATTAAAAATAAGAAATTCAATGTACTGCTTCTATATTATTCTAGCAGTAACTACACGTACTTTTACGTGATAATCTAAATTTCATGAGCAGCGCTTACATGTTGTCGTACAGTTCTTTAACTCAAATGGGAAAACTAAGGAAAAGTTTATGATTTTTCACATGCTTGTGGCTAGAAAAAACTTAGAAGAAACTAATGGCATGTTAAAGTTTGCAGTACGGAGGAAAACGGAGAACAATTGAAAACGCAAAGATAATTTACTAGCTACAGAATTTTGGAAAAATAGAGAACCGCAAATGGCAGCAATAAATTATTTGCATTTTTAATGATTCAAAGCTTAAATAACAGGAATTGCAAAAAAATATACTTGAGCAGATATTCACAATCTATAAATACTAGTAGAAATTAAAATTTAAAGAAGATATATTGACTTAAATATATTGAAGTTGAATGCTCCTTTTAGTAGTAGTAAATTTCAAATCGAAGACTATACCAATATCGTAGAGCTTGAATAGTTTTGATTGATTCACATATTAAAACCAAACAGAATATAGCAAATTTTATGACTACATATAAATACACATGAGTCAGCGCTCTTGGATTCTTTTTTTCGAAATTTTTTATTTCACATTAAATGCACAATTTCCACTGACATTTATGTAGCGTATGTGTGTATATATGCGGGTGCAGCCCGCACGTATCATGGGCAATTTTGCCGTCACCAGAAACAAAAAATTACAAAGTCAGTACTTCGCACTTTAAAATGATTTTTTTGAGAGTGTTTGTTTGTTTTTTGTTTGTTTTCTGTAAACACTCCACTTCAGTAGCTGTACCCCGTCTAACCGTTGAGAGTATAAACTAACATTGACTTACGCCTTATCAATCATTGGACGTTTTCAAAGGAGAATTCAGTTTAAAATTGCCTTATTTGCAATAGCACTTTGAAAGTCTTAGAGATTTGTTTACATTTAACAAGTTTTGTTGCACATATATGCTTTGATTCATGCACTTTTATAATACATCAAAGCACAGCACAAATAGTGTACGAGTATGTGGGTGCTGTCATACATCAATTGAATGTATCTCAAAATCAGTTATGAGTCATTCAACATTTGATACAAGCCATTACCTCATAGAAAACAAGTTTTTAACTTACGAGTATTACAGTTATGCAATAAATAAAAATAAAAAATTAATCTTACAAATAATACATCCGAAATATATATTTTTGGGTAGCATAAAACAAAATTTTATTTCTAATTCTTAATATTTATGTTCAAAAAATGTATTTTGACAAATAGTTTTCTAATAATAGAAAAGAATTTTGTGACATATCAGTATTTCAGGATAATACACTTTATAATCTTGCTATTAGTCTTCCTAAGAGACAATATAATCGCCTCAATAACTGATTCCAATTGCAATATTAAACTCCAACTTGTCAACAATATCAAGTGTCCAAGTACTTTAGTACCAAAACACAAGTACATACGTCATATTAGACATCCTTATTATCACATTGCCGGCAACTTGTCAAATGCTAAAATCACCTTTGTAGTATAACTAGTTTAATGACAAATTTGACTTCTATGCCATATATAACTTAACCGAATTCGATTCTCTTAGGCGTAACCTTTTCGGTCAGCAAATTTTGCTTATATAGAAAAATTATATCTGTTAAAGTACATCACTATATTAAGTAAATAATTAGTTACAGTATTAAGAGTAATGCAATTCCAATTATCAGGTTCACACTAACGATAAAAATACTTGCCTCACTTAGCTCACTTAGTTATAGTACATCACTTAGCTCTATACGACCCATCTCAAAGTTTTAATGCTTCTTACAATTTGATATTAGCTATGGGTTACAAGCATTTTTAAAACTCCTAACTCAACTTCAATGATGTGTTAACAGCTCTTTCAGTTCCCACATCACTTTATACGATATTCGTGACCCCTATCAAACCTTTTTTAAAACTCTTATCTTCTATTATCCCAATCTACCATCACATTTTGATATTCACAGTTGAAATACTAGACAATTCATTATACAACTTCGATGAAGTGTAAATAGTTCTTTCTATCACATAACTTTATAAGTGGGGTCTTCGTGATACTTATTACACTCGCAATTCTCTCAACAAGAAAATTTATTTAAACACTCTTACCTACTATCATCACAATTAACTTCAAGCAGCTTTAGTTTCGACACCTTTAGATTTCTAATAGTTTAATTTATTTTTCGACTTCAACTTTAAATACTGGAATAGAGTTTTTACCACTCCAATCCAATTTTACCAGTCCAATTGCTGGACTCTTCATTTTACATTCCTAACAAGTGGTTTTAGTGATTGAAAGTCACAAACAATAGATTTCAATTCTATCTAACTAACGGCGGTAGAAAAAGTTAAAATGATTGCCTTTGGTTAATTGTACTATTTCATATCTTTAAGCATTTTTTTTACGATTATATAGTTCCATTAATTTTAACGAATTTTCGATTATTTATTTTCGTAATTATAAAGATATGTCTATCAGATTGAACCATCAGATTTTTACTTTGTACACACAATGCAGTCATTGTTACTGCATTTTTATAGTAAAAATTTTAATAGAGAAATAAAAATATTATTGTAGAGGAAAAGGAAAATAGATATATTAAAAATTTGATTAATATATAACAATTAAAATTTTATATATTATAGTTTTTATTACTAACAGTATGTGTGAATAAATTTAATACATATAATAAAATTTAATTAAGTTGTAATTAAGTTGTAAAATATTCTTCATATACATATTTTCTTTAATTAAATTTAAGTTCTAAAAGTATGTGTGAATAAATCTTACAGGGTCGTTAATTTACAGTGCAGGAAATATCGTCAAATGTCAATGCACTTTAGAGTAAATTTGATTGATAATAACTGTGATGGCCACAAAATTAATCGAAAATGTAAGCAAGAAATTATTCAATAAAAATGTCAGAGAATATCATATATAAACTTAAACAGTTTCACAGCTAACAGCATTTGAACTAAATTTAACGTTGAAGTGAGGAGGGGAGGGTTACTTTTTAAAAGATTATTTCATTATTTATTTAAGAATTATTTAAGAAAGCATTTTCGATACCTGAATTATTTATTTTAGTAAATCATAATTTATTTAATTAATTTTTAAAGGTTTTGTAAATAAGAAGATATGATTGAGCACCCTTAACGAATTCAAAATCTTTCTACCTTTTCTTGAATGTTTTCTGCTATGGTTTGTCAACACATTTAAATTATTTTACTTAAATGTATAATTAAACATAATCTTTACTTTAATGTTTGTTTTTTGAAGGATATTCAAAACAATTGTTACATATTATGAATAATCTAGTTAGTCTAGTTCGTTTAATGATCACTGGATCACTGGAGACCCTAATTGATATTTTTGTTTGGTTTAACAGAACAACTAAATTATGGACTACTAAATTAGTTGCGAAGCATCTACTATTAAAAATAATAATAGATTAAATAAATTTAAATAATTTTTTAACTATAATAGGAATAGATGCTTTTTATAGGGAACTCTAAAAAGGTTTAAAAGAATTATACATTTATCCATAAATTAAACAAATAAATCAAATTTATAACGACCATAGAGAAGAGTATATATTGCCTTCTATATACATATATACTATATATAAACTAAAAATATTTATATAACTCTTCCGATTTTTCTACTGTATTTTAAAGTACTGATATCACATAATGAAAATTAAGATTATAGAAATGATTAAATTTAATAAATTCTTTTTCACTTACTTAATCTTCCAAAACTGTGCGATAGTCTCTTTTTGAGCTTCTGCAGCGCGCCACCTTTTTTTTCGCGCATCGTCACGCCTATAAAAAAAAATTAAGAAAAATATTATCAGCACTATTATACAATATTTATGTAAATTATATATATAGTAGAAAAATAATTTTACCATGAAATCAAATAAATATTCTTAAGTGACTAAGTATGACGCTATAATGCAATAAAATAACACACCTAAACACAGCGTTTAATAGCGTGTTTTATGGTCTGTTAGCATGGAGGTAAATGTGCGGATATGCCCAATAGAGCTTGTCTATGTTGCAGGCACACTCTCCACGTTTCAACATGCAACAATCAATCAATCAAATAAATTAAACTTTTATATATAAAAATTAATTTATTTTTTATGTATCCAATTATGCGATTACATATAGCATATACATATACATATAGCATATACATAAAGGACAGTTAAAATTATAATATGGGTTCATGAAGTTAAATATTTTTGTGGCATGCTGAGTAAAATCATAAAAATAAATATGAATGTCTCAAACTCTTCTAAGACACTTAATGAACCATAAAATATAAATTGCATTATTTGGTTTGATAAAATAAACCAATTTTTATTAAGTTGTTTTTTTTTCTCCCATTCTTCTATATACTTATTTTATTAACTAACAACAATTTTATTAAGTAATAAAAGGCAGCCAATCAAGGCGGCATAAGTAACTATTGTGAATTATGTGACGTACGATAACAAATTATTATGTTATTGTGTAAATTATTGAAGCATGAAATATGCACGAAAGATACACAAAACTCAGTAACAGAGAGGAAAAAAAACTGAACATAAAAAAAAGAAAGTCCATAAAAATTATATTAAGAAAACGACTGATGACAAGATACGAGAAGAGCTATGAGATAGTATTTACTAGTCTTTTAGTTATTATTAAATATTGCAGACTACCAAATATGTGAATAATTTGATTTCATAAATAAAACAAGTTGAAATTATCATAAATTTAAGGCGGTAATTCGATGCAAATTAGTTGGCACATAATAACGTTAAAAATTTAATATTTACCAAGCGAATTGATTGCCTACAAATATGACTCGACTGAGACGTTTAAACTCAAGTTACCTGCTTCGGATTTGTTACAGAGTCTACGAGCATAGCACACAAACTGATAGATACATTACAAAATTTTATATTTGCATATAGATTACACTAAATTTGCAATGATTGCATCTATGCACGTAATGAGTGTATTAAAAAGCGTCTCGGTTATGTGGTTATTCATATTTGTAGATAATTAGTTTTTATATTTATTTGGTAAGGAGTTGCTTACTTAAATTTGCTCACCTCAAATTGTGATATTTTAATATTTATGTCTAAATAGTTTCACAGAGATTGTGTTTACTAATAAAACAAATTAACAACTAACTAATCAATTAATAAATAACCAATATTAAAAGACATAGATATAACATAACATAAATTATTAGTTTTTGTATCAGTTCACTTATACTTTTAATTAGTTTAATTATATAATTTGTATCTACTACCACTTACAAAAACTAGACAAACACCATTTAGTTTGAATATTACTAAAGTATCAATACTTTCACACTTAGACTTTTTACGATTACTATATCTAAAGAAATATTCGTGAAGGAAATGAATAAAGAACAAATTTGCTAACTAACAAATTTGCTAAGGATGGTGCAGTGACTTCTTTCATAGGACCCATACCTTTTTAGGGAATATACAGTTATTAAACTACATCTATATTTAGAAATATGAATTATAATAAATAGTAATAAATTAATTGTTGAAATAAGTTGTTTTGAGAAGACTTGAAACAATTCTTAAGACAGTTAAAACAAGTTATTTTAATGAACAACAAAATGTCACAGACTTCTTAGTTTTTTTGTAAGTTCGAGGTGTGATTCTCAATGAGTGTCGAGTGAATTAATAAGCACTTTCGCACCGTTTTGTTACCACATCTTCATTACCAACTGCTAGTCGGATTATTTGCGTACACATCACAACATCACGTTTAAATCCAAACTGTTAAGAACCTCTGAAGTTCCTTAATACGATTAATAACGGCGAACTACCCAAGATTTTTTAACAAATTTTTCACTTTTAATAGATCTAAACTTAAATTTATAACTGGTTTTATCAGTTGACATTTTTGCGTTAATTATAACATTTAAATTAAAGGACTAAAGAACATCGACAGCTATAACTGCTGTATAATATAAAGTGACTCGTTCATACATATTAAATGCAGGTATGTTGCGATTACCAGTAAACGATCACAGTATTATCACTTCGCTTTTCTCGAACCAATTAAGATTTGTGATTTAGAACCAAGAGACATTGAAAGGTTTATGAATAGTCCTAAATTTATCGAGGGTAGCGTAATAGACCTCATACCTATATTACAGTTTATGTTCGCTATCGTTTTAAAGAAAATATATTGTAGTTATTTTATGAATCAATTATGGAGTACCTATTGTTTTTTATTATTCGTTTTTTAAATTTATCTTCCTATGTGACCAGCTATAGTCCATGATAGCTTATATTCTTGCTTATATTATATTTTTGTTATATATATAAAGGAGGTTTAAAAAAGTTGATTATAATTAGTCATTTTTATAAAAAAATTCTTATAAATTTAAAGCAATAGTTCACAACTATGTGTATTGTTTGTATTCTCATTAAATAAAGCTCATATATCCTTAAATATATATATATATATATTCATATATATATATATATATATATATATATCAGTATCATGGTTCATATATTCTTCATTGTAAATTCTGCATATTATGCCAAAATTGCTATACCAATTTATCTTAATTCATACTATGAAATTTAACATAAATCTGTGAAAGTTCAAATAAATTTTATACCAATTTTGACATAAAAGTGTAGTGATTTTGTTGAAACTTTTGCAATTTACTGTGAAAATAATTTAAACAAATTTTGACTATTACAAAAACAAAAGCCCTTTCAAACTGATTAAAAAGTCAAAAAGTTTTAAAAAGATGATCCTAAACAAACAAGCAGCAAATTCAATCCATGAAATCCTTAAATGTGCAAAAATATACATTCTCATGAAGGATTCAGAGATGTTTCTTTTTCCTCACATAAGTATTTTCAACAGACTGCTATTATACAGAAACTTTTTCTCTGTCTTCTCTAAGATCAAATATTTACAAATCAAAAATCGAGTTGCCTTTTTTTGGTTTACTCGATAGAGACACATTTACTTTAACTACGTAACTAAATTACTTTGAATACATAAGTACATAAATGTCATTTATGTCAGTTGATGTTTCAAATTCTTCATATATAAATATGTATACACATTTGTAATTGAGTACATATGTATATTTGTACCTATACATAGCTTTGAAAAGTTGTCAAAATGTATCTATTAAGTGGCATACAATTTTTAAAAATGTGCTTCATTTTCTTGGATGACTGCCAGCAGTGTCAGCGAAAAAGAAATTCACGGAAATTCTGCTCCTCATATGATGTGATACGGCTGGTAAGAGTAGACGACAGAATATAAGAGATATAATGTATATAAGAATATGAGTATGTGAAAAAATTAAGTATTTCCATAAAATCATACTAACTGAAAACTGAAAACTGAAAATGGCTTATTAAATTGTCATTTTGTGGATTTCTTGTGTGGTTCTTCAAATGAAAATTGTGTACTAAATACTTTGCTAATATTAGCCATTTACAATAATTGCACATACAAATTTATCTCATGTATTTAGTTAATTGTTGAGATACATATACATCTGTTATAATTCCAAATACTTAATTTTAAATATTTACGATTATTGAAACTAGATTGAAAATTAATTATTATTTAATATAGTGGCAATTTAAATTTGTCTCACTCTATTATATACTATATGTACGAGTATTTGCTATAAATAATCATAAGTTTTATTTGGCATTAGATACTTTCATTTTTATTATTTGTGTGCTTTGATTTAAAGCAAATATGTATCTTTCGAGTGAAGAATTTTTTCTTTCACAGATACTTGTAGATATGCTTCAGCAATATGAAAAGTGCAAATGCAATTGCTAATTATCTGTCAAAAACTTTTGAATAATCTGCTTGTTACGTGCTATTAGGTGTGTTTGGCATGTGTTCTAACTCTTAAGCCCTTTAAGTTAGCATTTTTTGTGTCTCAACAGTTAGCCAAATTTTTTACACTTTTTTTTTCTTTGCATGCATAATTGACGCATAAAAGTTTTGACTCTACCCAACTCATATTTGCAGTTTTTTATCTTGTATCTGCGCTACGTTGTGCTTTGATTAGTGTGGGCTCCCTTTGTTACTAACTCAATTTGTTTTTGTCTACTGCGCTTTTAAATAGATTCATGGCATTATACTACATAGTATAAAATACTTTGGTGTATTTTTTTTTCTGTCTTATTTTTGTTTTTATATTTTTACTCTAGTTTGTCCTTAGTTTATTGAACTTTACATTGGCATCTGATGAGTTTGCTTTTGAATTTTCTATTTATACATTTTTTTCAATGCAATTTCATTCTAATTGAACTTGCAAATTTTATTTGCATTTTAACATGAAATTTGTCTGCAATTGACATTGATCTTGATTAAAATTTTTATTCTATAAACAATTTTTGAAAATTGTTTTCTGTTTTATAAAATATTGATGAACAAATTTTCACGGGTGCTGTATCTCAAACTATAACTATAAAACAATTATTGTGTAATGTGTAAACTTTTTTGTTTAACCTTAACTTCAGTCTCTTCTTCGTCTCTGTTCTACACTGAGATACTTTCTTATTTGTTTCTGCGACTAATTAAATAAGTTTTAAAATTGTATAAAATTTAAAAAAAAAACTTTTACTTTTATATAAACTTCATTATTTGTAATTGCAACTGCTTAGTAAATGTAATTAAATGTTCGTTTGAACAGCAAAACTTGTCAATGATGTGTTTAAAAAACAGCACTTAATGTGTCGTTAGTTGCACATTAAAATATAAAGTTTAAAGATGAATCGTTAAAA